TCTCTCTCTCTCTCTCTCTCTCTCTCTCTCTCTCTCTCTCTCTCTCACACACACACACACACACACACACACACACACACACACACACACGCCCGACCTAGAGAGTGCATTCCGTCCCTGTTTTTTGCCAATCAAATGTATACGCCCGCGCGCACGAGAGAGAGAGAGAGAGAGAGAGAGAGAGGTTGCAGTTTCTTTTGGCAAATTGAATCTTACAAAGCGATGACAGAGGGGTAGGAGGGGGATTCGATTGGCAATAGAAAGAGACGAAATGCACATCGGAGGAAGGAGGGGGGCCGGAAAGATGAGAGAGGGCCATGGCGGAAGGAGGGGAGGAGAGAGGGTCGAGGAGGAAGAAGGAAGGAGGGAGGAGGGAGGAGAGATGCTCGAGGAGGAAGGGCCAAGGGAGAAAGGAGGGAAGACTCGAGAGGAGGGAGGAAGGAGGGAAGACTCGAGAGGAGGGAGGAAGGAGGGAAGAGTCGAGGAGGGAGGAAGGAGGGAAGAGTCGAGGAGGGAGGGAGGAAGAAGAAGCGCCGAGGGAGGAAGAAGAAGCTCCGAGGGAGGAAGAAGAAGCGCCGAGGGAGGAGGAATGGCTGAGGAAGGACGAAGGGAGAGAGGAGGGAGTGTCGAGGGCCGACGGAGGGACGGAGGAAGGAGGGAGGTGTTCAGGCGTAGCTCGAGTGGAGAAAGGAAGAGGAGCTAGCAGGGAGGGCGGATGGAAGGCAGGGCGAAGGAGAGGGTCCGGCAGAGATCAGACGGAGGGAAGAAAGAACGGTAGGAGGGAGGGCTGAGGTCGAAGAAATGTAGACTAACTTGAGTCACCCATCCCGACGAAGGCTCCAGCCGAGACAACGATCAACCAGCAACGCGCAAGCCTTCAGCCATGATTTAGCCCAGCCGTCCAAGTTTCACAGAAGTAGTAGACAATGGCTCAAGTTCCACGTTGCAATAAGTCACGTCGAGGTTCACGTAGCACGTAAGACAATTCACGGAACACCAAGCTCACTCGCGAGCTCAGATTTACGTGGCCAGCACCAATGCGCATAGGACGGAACACGTCGCCCATGCAATGCGGCATAAATTCAGGACGCACCGAGTTACGTGCCACAGAGAAGAAAGAAATGGAGAGAGAGAGAGAGAGAGAGAGAGAGAGAGAGAGAGAGAGAGAGAGAGAGAGAGGGAAGGGAAGGGAGAGAGAGGGAAGGGAGAACGAGCCTGGACTTACGTCGCCGGCACCAATGCGCGAAGCACGTAGCTCGTAGGTAGGAGCACGTGACACGTAGCTAGGAGCACGTAGGATATAGCACTAGTTATTCACGTCGCACGAATTTCACGAACACCAATCACGTTGCATGTAGCACAGAGAAGCGAGAAAGAGAGAGAGAGGAGGGAAAGAGTGCTCAAATTTACGTCGCCAGCACCATTGCACGAGACAGGTAGCACGTTGCACGGTAGGTCGCGTAGGCAAAGCAGCATGGTACGTTGCGTAGGGGGGAGGAGAGAGAGAGAGAGAGAGAGAGAGAGAGAGAGAGAGAGAGAGAGAGAGAGAGAGGTGCAGGACGGGGAGCGAGGCGATGCCCGACACGCACGGCAACGAAAGCTGAGACCCTAGGCACGAACTTGGACAAAGCTGAACGACGGCCCGTATGGAAACGGGCCGAGGTACCTGAAGTTGCTTCCGTGCTCTTGGCCGCTGGCACTACACGAGCGTGTCGACGGGATCATCGTCTAAAGCTCACTGTCGTGCACCGTCGTCAGTACCCGGATTTTCTACGTCTGTGGGCATACTCACGCTAGGACCGTTTTACTCATTTCTGGACGTAATTGCGGTCAGATACAAAGAGGTCTGGCCGTAAATGCGATCACAAGTGTGAGTACGCCCTGACACAGGAAGGAGCGTTATGTCCAGATGCTGAGCACAACGAAGCCGCCCGCGATGTGGACGCTGTCAATCGATTCAGCGAAACGGTGGATTGTTGGCCGGTTGTGGCCGGCTGAAAAAACAAAAAAAAGGAGGGTCATTTCGTAATGATAACGAGCGATTTGGGCATGACGGTGGTGCCTGCTGCGTAGTGGGACGGATATGATGCTCATTACCGTTTTCTTCGTGGGCTGGATGTTCAGTATCAACAGGTCCACTAGACCATCAAGAATAGGCTGGCTATCATCCTTATGAGCAGGAAGTACATATACTCGTGTCCAGGGCTGATCCAGATAAAATAGAGAAAGCACAAACCATGGATGATGCCAGATCACTCAGAAGAGAGTCATAGAGTTGGGCCGCAGGCCCACACACCGCGGAATATCAAGGGTGGGTGGGGCGGCTTCGCCAAAATAGGCGATGTGAACGACCTATCCTCCGAGTGTCTGGCTAACTGGCTAGATGTGACGTGCAGATTCGCTTACGCGATGGGCGCAGCAGCGGCCGGAAGAACTTCAGAGAGTGGGCAGCGCGAATTGACTCAATCTGCTGCGACGGTCCTGCACCGGTGACATATACTCTTGCCGCGACTGGAGGCAGTGGAGGTCGGGCCACTGAGGGGCAGCTTCCTGCCGGGTGAGTCCCACTGGCCCCTCCTGTAAAACCGAAGATCCTGGATGCGAAGATAATCCCGCCGTTGATCTTAGAAACAGAAAAACTGGTAGGATCGTCGAGAGTCCCAACCGTAGATGATAAAGATCCACTGAAGCGAGAAAACTGGATAAATGAGAAATGTAATGAATTTCCTGAAGTTGTTGCGTGTCATACAGCTTTGGAGATGAGGCCCTAGGCCGAGTTGCCACCAACCGTGGGACCCGTTTCTTGGTGAGTTGTTGTCCAGGCCTGATCCAGATAAAATAGAGAAAGCACAAACCATGGATGATGCTAGATCACTCAGGAGAGAGTCATAGAGTTGGACCGCAGGCCCACACACCTCTTATACCGTCCCGAATCCCCCCATCATCCCACAAATGACTTGTCATCTTGCAGGGAGTGGTGGAACGAGCGGATGAGTGATGGAAGTTGGCGTCAGAAGCGAGCGATGCCGGAAATAGCGGGAGTTACCAGGCAGGTCTGGAGTGGAGCAGCCAATTGATTGAGGAATTTGGCCCAGGGAAGCGATGGCGGAATGGGATGCGAAAGCTTCTTCTTGGTTTGAATGAGTGGCTTGAGAGAAACGGAGTTGGGAGAAGTTGTATGGCATGCAATGATTTGGATGTGTTGTCTTTCCTTAGTAGTCAGTGGTTGGTAGAGATAGAGAACAGACGGACTACGGATAATGAGGGAGAGTCGATGGTTTCTCCATCAACTGTTGATGCTGTTATCAATTGCCTGAGCGAAAGCCTCCGACTGTTGGGACGGGAAGAAGTTGATGATCCATGCCAGAGTGGCAGAGTGAAAATTTTTAAGAAGTCATACAGGGAGTATGCGTTGAGTCGTGGCGTAGTTGAGGAATCTGCACGCCCATTAGAGTGGGAGAAACTATTGACAGTGATAAAGTATATTCAAAATAAGGTGAAGATCTTAAAGAAAATGCGTGAGGCAGAGGCTTATCGAGATGCTGCAATATTCTTGTACCTTTGGGAGAGCTGGCAACGGTGCGGTGAGGGTTTACGGTTGCAATACAAGGAGATAGATATAGTGAAACAGGAAGTGCGACCAGGGTACACAAAGACTGACAGACATGGAGGTCGATTCCTTATCCGTTTGAAGGAACCCAATAATGAGGGAGAAACTTTTTTAGGTATTCTTCCATATTTAATTTTAGCATACGAGACTGTAGGTGTAAATGTGCGAAAGGGATACCTATTTCGAGCTGGAATGGGAAGTAGTGCACTTGGTAGTGGGGCTTTCAATTAGCGGATAGAGAAATGGTTTGGGGAGGCGAGAGTATATTGAAGGTGAGAGTGGTCATAGTTTTCGGATAGGAGGATTACGAGCAGGAATAGAGGAAGGCTGGAGTTTAGGAGAAATGATACGGCAGGGAAGGGAGGTTGAAAAGGAAGGGGTGGTTACCGTAATGGGAGTGACTGTTAATGACCAGGAGTTAGGTGGTGAAGAAGATGGCGGAAAGACCTAACGTGGCGGGATGAATGCAGGAGTGATGGACTCTTGGGCTGCGGGTATAGGAAAATTCTGATTTCGGGATAACAAACTTCATGGAGATGTTTAGTGAGAGAATGCGTGGAAGCCAGTTTGCTTTATTAGATGAAGGGTATATGAGTAAGTAATTTGTCGGAGAAAGGGTTGCATGCGACAGAGCTTGGTGGATAAGTGAAGTGGGTGGAAAGAGTCATCTGTAAGGTTCAGATGATAACGAGTTCCAGTCGTGTGAGAGTGCGTCGATAACAAAGGCTTTAGAAGACCAAGACATAGAGATGAATACAGATAAAGTGTGGTGATTGTCGGAGACGAAGAGATCAATGGCTGGTGCTCCTATAGCTGAGAAGATAACATGCCTAACATGGTGGGTGATTCCCCAGTCAGTGTTATCCTCGATTTTAGAGAAATTGTTGGCGACGATGTTAAGGGATCTGGGAATCCAAATTGGCGACAGGATGATGTCATGACGAAAAAAGACTGAAGCGATTAAGCGAAGCCAAGGATTGAAAACTGGCTCAGAGGAACGAAGGTGACTGAGAAGAGCAATGGTTGACTGACTATCTCAAAATAGTCGGATGGATGTAGAGAGAAGAAGATGAGGATGGTTAGATTCAATGCAAAGGAATGTTTGAAGCATAGCGTAAAGTTCTCTATGCGTTGAAGAGGTTGGGATCAGATCGTGAGGTAAACATTCATTTAGTGCAAGTGGCAAGGAGTGCATTGGAGAGATGAGCGCTCCTATTTGAGTAGCGGAAGCATCAATTTGAATTAAGCAAGTTATTTTTCGGATAGTCCAGAGGCGACCAGGGAGGTGAGGAAGATGGCGAAGCCACCAATGGAGATCTGAAATAAGGTCGTTGGAGATTTAAACTGTTGAGTTCCAGTTGGAAGGGGAGATAGAGTCGAAAAGAGAAGAAATGAAGAGTGGTGTTGGTAGGAATGTTCTTGTAAGGGAAATAAGTTTTCCTTCAAGCTGAGCTAAATTTCTGTTAGAGGTTGAGGAGTTAGAGATTGAGTTGATGATTTTAAATATCTTTTCTACCTTGTCTTTTGGAACTCTTATGCGTTTATAGTGTGAGTCAATAGTGAATCCTATAAATCTTATATTTTGGGTCGGCAGGAAAGTGCATTTGTGGAGACTGAGAAAAAAACCTGGATTGTGCAGGAGTGCCATATAGTTGAAGGTTTGCCAGATAATAAGAGGAAGATTGGGGTTTGCAAGTGCTGAATCATCTATATAAGAGGTGATGAAGACACGGCGAAACTTAATTTCAGCCATAATTTTCTGCGTAACAGTTGTGAAGATTCAGCAGGCTGCTGAGATGCCGAAGCAGAGAGTTGTGAATTGGTAATACATGTCATTCAATTTAAAGGCTAGGTAAGGTCTGTGGATTGGGTTAATGAGAATATGATAGTAGTCATTTTTTATATCGAAACAAGAAAGAAAATCCTGATTTAAAGTATCAGAAATGGGGGCGATAAGATCGTTGATGGTTTCGTAATGGAACTCGGGAAAAGAGATGAAAAGGTTGACGAATCTGACATCTAAAATAAATCTGGTTTTAGATGAGCTTTCGGTGGTGAAAATTGGGTTGATTACTATCGGCGAAGCAGAAGGTTCAATGACTTTAGTTGATAGCAGTTGGGATACAGTGGAGGTGATGAAGTCAGAGTGGTGTGGTAAAAGAGAGTGATTGGGGATGGAGGTAGGAGGGGGGTTCACACATTGAAGTACACGTTTGAACTGGTCTGCTAAATAGACACCCTTTAACATTCTCCGAACCTCAATAATCTTCTTTACTGGGATATGCTTGGTTCCGACAAAGTTGAGTTGCACGCCATGTCGAATCCATTGAAGGTCAGAGTGTGAGTATCTTCTTGAGGAGGTTGATAACAGTCGAGACCAGTTTGAGAATGAGTGAGAAGTTGAGGCGGCGAAGAAGTTATCTGGGTTGCAGGGCCAGAAAAAAAGTTACTGGAGAGCGAAAAGAGAGAGTTGAAGATCCGAAGTAGAAGGAGGGGTTTCCAAGTTGGAAAGAGTGAGTTGGACTGAAGGAATTGAAAAAGGAGGCAAATTAGTCTGATTTGCGGTAAATGTCTGAAGAGGCTGCTTTGACAATGTCGGACGACTTGAAGTTGGTGTCGTGATGAGGACGTTTTGCAATGCGATTGAAGTCATAGCCTCTGTCCAGGGTGTCGTCATACTGCCTCTTCGATGATGACTTTTTGTAGTCTTCGGTCTTGACGTGATCTTTTTTCTTGCGATAGCCAGAGGAGTCTCCATCATGCTTGAAACTTAAAGATCTGCAGAAAAAAAAAATAATGATAAGCCCATAACGCAAATGGCGTGGACCTATTAACGATCCAGGGCAAGAATTCTTAATTGGGCGACGGCCTATAAAAGCTTACCTTGATGCATCTCGTCTTGCGATGCTCAGACAGTAGTTGTACTCGGATCAAATGGTGGGCATTGCTTGCTCCAAGCCCTCCCTGATAGCCTTGTTGGCGATTGATTTGACATCACTGGGAATTCGGTGATCCACGCAGTCTTTGGCCACAAAATTAAGTCGAGAAGAGAAATCGCTTGACATTGCCTTTTCGAAAGGCCAATGATGGTAATTA